AAAAAAAAAAAAACCCCACACAAAAAACAAACAAAAAACCCCAAGAATGCACACATACATGCACAAGTGTGTTCCCCCATGCATATGCAGATACACACACACAGACACACACACTCACACTCTTACCAATTATTGGTTATTAATAACTCAACATCAATATATTCAATGGACTCAAAACCTCAATAAAAAGACACAGGCTAACAGAATGGATATGAAAACAGGATGTAGATGACAAGAAATAATCAAACTCAGAGCTGAAATCAATCATTTAGAAACTGAGAGAACAATGAAAAGAATAGACAAATCCTTAGCCAAACTTACTTAAAGGCAAAGAGACAATATCTAAATTAACAAAATCAGAGATGAAAAGGGGGACATAACAATAGACACTGAGGAAATCCAAAGAATCATTAGGTCTTACCTCAAAAGTCTGTACTCCAGAAAGTTGAAAAATCTAAGCAAAATGAATGATTTTCTTGATAGATACCACTTACCAAAGTTAAATCAAGATCAGATAAACAATTTAAGTTATAAATATGATAGTCCCTATTGAAATAGAAGCAGTCATTAAACGTTCCTCAACTAAAACAAGCTCAGGCCAAACAAGTTTTAGCACAGAATTCTATCAGACTTTCAAAGAAGAGCTAATACCAATACTCTTCAAATTAGTCCACAAGATAGAAACAAAAGGAACATTACCAAATTCATTCAATGAAGCCAGTCATCCTGATACCCAAACCTCACAAAGACTGAAGAATTACAGACCAATTTCCCTTGTGAATATTGATGCATAAATACTCAATAAAATACTCACAAACTAAATCCAAGAACACATCAAAAACCATACACCATGATCAAGTAAGTTTCATCCCAGAGATACAGAGATGGTCTAACACATGAAAATCCATTAATGTAATCCACCATACACATGAACTGAAAGAAAAAAAGCACACGATCGTCTCATTAGATGTTAAAAATTCTGTGACAAAAATCTAATATACTCCTTCGTGTTCAAGTCTTGGAGAGATCAGAGATACAAGGCACATATCTAAAAACAATAAAGACAATATACAGCAAGCCATTAACTAACATCAAATTAAATAGAGAGAAACTTAAAGCAATGCCACTAAAATCAGGGACAAGACAAGGCTGTCTCCATATCTATTCAATATAGTACATGAAATTATAGCTAGAGCAGTGAGACAACTGAAGGAGATCAAGAGGATACAAATTGGAAAGGAAGAAGTCAAGGTATCTCTATTTGCAGATGATATGATAGTATATATAAGTGACCCCCAAAATTCAACCAGAGAACTCTTTCAGCAGATAAAATACCTTCAGCAAAGTGGCCGGATAAAAAATTAACTCAAAAAGAATCAGTTGCCTTCCTTTATACAAATAGGAATAGGGCTGAGAAAGAAATTAAGAAAACAATACCCTTTATAATAGCCATAAATAATATAAAAGATTGTTGTAAGTCTACCAAACAAGTGAAAGACCTGTATGACAAAAACTTCAAGTCCCTGAAGAAAGAAACTGAAGAAGCTATAAGATAGAAAGATCTCCCGTGCTCATGGATTAGTAGGGTTAACATAGTAAAAATGGCTATCTTACCAAAAGCAATCTATAGATTCAATTTTCCCATCAAAATTCCAACACATTCTTTACAGATCTGAAAAGAACAATTCTCAACTTTATATGGAAAACCAAAAAACTCAGGATATCTGAAACAATCCTATACAATAAAAGAACTTCTGGAGGTATCACCATCCCTGATTTCAAGCTGTACTACAGAGCAATACTGATAAAATCCACATGGTATTGGCATAAAAACAGACAGGTTGATCAATGGAATAAAATCAAATACTCAAAATACACCCACACACTTATGGACACTTTAGTTTTGACAAAGAAGTCAAAACCATACAATGGAAAAAAGAAAGGTATCTTTCAAAACACAAATGGTTGTGGTCTACCTAGATTTCTGTTACGTAGAAGAATGCAAACAGACTCATATCTATCACCCTGTACAAAACTCAAGTCCAAGTAGATAAAAGACATACTGCAGCCAGATACACTAAATCAAATAGGAGAGATAGTGGGGAACTGCCTTGAACACATTGGCACAGGAGACAAATTTTTTTTCTTTTTTCTTTCTTTTTTTTTTTTTTTTTAGGACACAAATTCTTGAAGAGAACACCAATGGCTCAGGCTCTAAGATCAATCATTAATAAATGGAACCTAATGACACTGAAAAGCTTCTGCAAGGAAACAGACACCATCAATAGGACAAAACAGCAGCCTACATAATAGAAAAAGATCTTCACCAACTCTACATCTGACAGAGTACTAATATCATTCATATATATATATATATATATATATATATATATATATATATATCAAGAAATTAGACATCAACAAACCAAATAACCCAATTAAAAATGGGGTACAAAGCTAAACAGAGAAATCTCAACAGAAGAATCTCTAAAGACTGAGAAGCTCTTAAAGAAATGTTCAACCCTCTTAGTCATCAGGAAAATGCAAATTAAAATGACTCTGAGATTTCATTTTACACATGTAAGAACGGCTAAGATCAAAAACTCAGTAACAGCACATGGTGGCGAGGGTGTGGAGCAAGGGGAACACTCCTTCATTGCTGGTGGGAATGAAGTCTTGTATAACCACTTTGGAAACCAATTTGATATTTTCTCAGAAAATTGGGAATAGTTCTACCTCAAGACCAGCTATACCACTCCTGAACATATACAAAAGATACTCCATCATACAACAAGGACACTTGCTCAACTATGTTCAGAGTAGATTTACTTGTAGTAGCCAGAAGCTGGAAACAACCTAGTTTTCCCTCAATGGAAGAATGGATACAGAAAATGTGATACATTTATACAATGGACTATTACTCAGCTATTAAAAACAAGGACAAAATTTGCGGGCAAATGAATGAACATAGAAATATCCTGAGTGAGGTAACCCAGGCCCATAAAGACAGGCACGGTATGCACTCACTTGTAAGTAGATATTAGCTATAAAGCACAGGATAACCATGCTACAATCCAGACCCAAAGAAGCTAAGTAACCAGTATGGCCTATGGGAAAATAGTTGAGTCTTACTCAGGATAGGAAAAATATAGACATCAGAATCAGATGGAAGGAGGGGAGTAGGTGGGAGATGGGGTAGGAAAGGGACAGGGTTGGGAAAAAATAAAGAGAAAAAAGTATTTACAGAGTATCATTTAGAAAGTAGGTCTGGGCAGGGCCCAAGGATGTCTCTGGGAGACTGTTAGGATTTAGCTGAGTGAATTTATGTTACAGAAGCAACAGGCTAAGATGCTCCCTTTACCCTCTGCATGGCTTTCAGTGTCCTAAATTGCATGTACCTTTGAATTTCTTCTGGCCACTTGAACCTTTAGTCTGCTTTTTCCTATTTTCTGTCAGGTCTTCCTGCCTTTTTTTCACCCACAAGCAGCTCCTGTTTCTAGGCCATGCAGTTGGACATTAAGATGTATAAGAAATAAATTCATAGGAAGGTAGAATATACACAATTCTATAGTTGTCTTTTTCTGAGGTGTTTGTATTTTCAAAGTGACAGAACAAACAGATCAATATCTATTACCAGCAGAGTTTAGAATATCATGCCAAGGGAGGACATTTCCCAGCAGGGCACACATGGAGTTTGTGATTATTAACATCTCTCAAACCAAGTCTATTCTGTACATATGTTAAGGTTCAGTCCCCAAAAGGAAGTCCAACTCATGGAAACTCCTCACCATAATGTCCAAGTCAGGAGCGAGTCATAGTGCAAACTCAAGAGAAAATGGCCTCCTGCTCTAAATAGCAAAGTGCTTTTATCTTTTAGTTTCTTTCTATCATGTTCTTTGAGTGGTTCCATACCAGTAAAGTTTATGTACATCATCTGAGCTGGCAAGAGCTTCAAGTATTTTATTCTTTTCTGCTTCAGAGCCCATGGAAGAATACATGCTTAAGAGGAACAGCCAGCCTTTCTCAGTTCTTGCTCCAACTTTGAACACAGTGATCATAACATCAGTAGGCAGGCTATAAGAGAGGTAATGAAACATGAGAACAAGGAAAAAAAATTTGACTATAAAGGCAAGGAGTTGACTGGTTCAGATTAAATAATAATTGTAAACTTCATACAATCTAGAGTTAATTCAGTGATGGTAAGTTTCATGATATAAAGTAGTACATGTATATTTGGGAGGCAGGGTGTAAGAAGGGGATGAAACATAGCCAACTGCCTTTATTAAAGTCTCAGAGCTAGGACAGACTCCAGACCATTATTAAAATTTCCCATCTCAACTTTTCAGATGATATTTTAATCATTGCTCCAATATTCTCAATAAGGAGCCTGAAAAGAATTAATTACATTCAAGAGTATTTCTCCTAACTGCTCACTTCACCAGTCATCTCATATCTAAATTAAAGGAGACCTCTCTCATCCTCTGAGAAATATTTCCTATCAAAAACTCAAAAAAGTAGGGTCATGGAGTTAGCTCCATCATTTAAAGTACTTGTCACACAAGCATGAGGACCAGAGCTCAACAACTACCCACCCAACTCCAATCTGCTTGTTTTAATGTCAGTACTCAGGAGGCAGAGATAGGCCAAGTAGGGCTACACAGTTAGACTACATCTCCAAACTAAACCCACCAAGCAAAACTAGAAAACATGTGTTGGAAAGGATGTAAAAAAAAAAAAAAGTGGAATGTTTTTCTGTTGGTGGAAACAAAATCACACAATTACTATGGGAAACATGATATCATGAAAGTTCTTTAAAAATTAAAAATGGAATGCTAGGGAAAATAGTTCAATCATAAAGAGCTTGCCAAGCAAGCATGAGAACTTGAGTCTGATCTCCAGAAATCCATATAATAAAGTCAAGGAGGCAGTATGATATGAAAAACCAACATTCAGGAGACAGAAACAGGCAGATCCCAGGGACCTTCTGGCCAGCCACTTTAGACTATTTAGTGAGAATCAGGCCAATAAAAGCCACTGTTTCTGAGGATTTACATTAGAGGTTGTTTTCTAGTATCCATACACACGTGTACTTACACAATCACATATATAGCTATATGATAAAACAAAATGAATACTAAATTCTCTATAATCCAGCAATATCACTTTCAGATATATACCAAAAGAATTTAAATCAGATCTACAAGAGCTAAAAATTATATGTTTCAATTCATGGCAGTAATATTTATAAGGGCTAAGAAGTAGAAGCAATTCAGAGGTCATGAAAAACGTATTAAGAGGGCAAGTGCATACGGTGGGCTATCTTTCCTTCTTTAGGAAGTAATGGGAAGACCCATTCAAGTATTTCATGTGCATTTCACCTCTGAGTTCCATTTGTTGCCATCCAATTGTCAAACAGTTTTGTGGCCATAGTGGTACAGTTCTCTAGGCTGTGGGCACAGGCAAATTCCAGCAAGGCTGACCGAAGCTCTCGCATAGATGGTGTGCCTTCATCCGTCCAAGTCTGCTGCTGGATTTGGTTCTGTAGCAATTTATGTACTCTGGTCTACAGACATGAAATATTATTAAAATAGTATTGATAATAATTTAATCAATCAGGAAATCAGGACTACTACATATCTTTTCTCCAATATTTACCCAATAATGAAAAGACATACATATTACTTATTAAATGTTAACATAAAGCCCAAATTTAGCTGGAATGAAATTATCTAATAATAAAGCTACAAGTAGGACTTATCATGATACAACTCAACTCAGGAGTTTCCCCCATCCCCTGATTTAACTATACAGCTCAGGCTGACCTTGAATATACAATTCTCTTGCTGAGATTATAGGCACATGTCACCATCTTTTGCTAAAATATACTTCTTTACCAATGATTTAATGTTTAAAAAGTTCTAAATCCATTATTAAAAGTATATTAAACATACCACCTAATTTTAGATCATTAGCAAATTAGCCTAACAAAATTGAAGAGAAAATGGCATTACTTATCCCATTTTTAATGTAAAAAATTCAAAGCTACAGAGAAATGCAAAAATAAATGTATAGTACACATTTATGTTATTTACCTAGATTTATCAGTTTCTAATTCTTCATTTTTATACATGTAGTACATATATACTTTATTTTAGCTGTTTGTAAATTATAAATATTATAAAATTTCATTTATATATACCTAGTCTGTATATGATCAAAATTCCCTGCTATACTTCAGAAAATGGACACTTATTTAATACTACCACCTGCTATTCTAACCAATTCATTGTTACAGTTACTTCTGAATGAAAGGACACTGTGAAATATATGTGTATTATAGAATCGGCAATCCCCTTTTCATTTTTTCCTTTGAAGAAACATAAGAGCTATTCACAGTATGTAGAAATCCTTCCACGTTACAAGTTACTATGCACCAGGGAGGGAGAAGATACACAAAATTTAACAATACTGTAAGAAATATACACTCAGGAAATATCAATGGGAAAAAACTGATATAAAATGCTATTTTTTTCTGTAAGAAATATCTTCATGTTATTCATATAAGAAGAGTCAAATTAAAAAACAAAAACCAAATACCCTACAGGTGTCCCCTTTGCAAGATCTCAGCACTAGCAAGTTTCACCTCACCAGTTACTTCTTTACTATTACCCATGCTGACTACTTTTATGTCAACTTGACACAAGCTATAGTCGTCTGAAAGGAGGGAACCTCAAATGAGAAACTGTCTCTGTAAGATCTGGCTGTAGGCAAGCTGGTAGGGCATTTTCTTAATTAGTGATAAGAGAGAGCCCAGCTTATTGTGGGTATCTGACTGGTTCTGTGTGCTATAAGAAAACAGGCTGAGCAAACCATGAGGAGCAAGCCAGTAAGCAGCACTCCATGGCTTCTGTTTCCAGGTTCTTGCACTACTTGAGTTTCTGATTTTCTTCAATGGTGGCTTATTACTTGGAAGTATATGTGAACAAACCTTTTCTCTCCAAGTTGCTTTTGGTTGTGGTGCTTCATCACAGCAACACAAACCCTAACTAAGACACTACTTTATCTCAATAATAAAGCATCACAGATGAGTTATGAAAAAACCCTTTAAACTCCAAACCTCAATTTAAGTTCTTTTGAAGTATTATGCTCTTTTTAAAAATCATTGTCCATCCCTAAAACCAAAAGAACTAGTAAAAGAAGCTCTCGAAGCTTGTGATAACACATCAACTTGCCTCTGTTTGTTTAAAGGCAATAAAATACAGATTAGACATCTTATTGAGTGTGTGAGGTGGTGGAGCTTGAGAGCCACTGGGTAAACGTGGAATCAAAACATACTGCCATGCTAGCTGTCATTTGCAGGACATTCCATGGGGCTCACTTGGCTGTGTTGGTACCTGCTATCTACAACTGACTAACCTATTTAATATCATCAAGATAGCACTATCCCTGATTGTAGACACAGACCCTAACCCTGATGTTTTTGTCCCAAATGAATGGAGAATAAAAGAAAAAAATAAAGGTATTTATAATAAAAACAAAGAAACAATGTATATGAAAGTTACAGCTTGGAATCCTATCTTCAAAAATCTCAGAGGAGAGCCACAGTGGAGTGCAGTGTCAGTGGCACTGTGACACACTGCAGCAGAGAACGCCTGACACTTGAAGATGCTTAGACTAAACTCTGAACACTCACACCCTACAATCAGAGGGCACAGGTTTTGCTAGTCTCCTTATGCCAATAATGATTAAGAGAAAAATCTCAAAATGTGTTAAGTATATTTGAAAGTATGATAAATATCTTACAAATATAATTCTATTTTCATAAAAATCCTGCAGTTTTAAATGTGACCATTTAATAAATAAACAATTCAGGTTATATCTTCAATATTATTTATATTAACAAGAGCATAGCAGGTGTCTCAAGTTGCCTTTTCCTCTTATACAATAAAATGAATTATACTTTTCATATGGTTTCTAAATGAACCTTTTTTGAAGTTAAGGCAATTAAACAACTAACACTAATTTCATACAGAATGGCAGGAAGAGAAAGGGTAGAAAGAGATGTGCCACAGAAGCTACCAACATTGCATATGCAACACAATGCAGCAACAGTAACAAACTGACTTTAAAAATAAAACAGGAAAAGATCCCAACATTTTGCTATATATTACCATTGATTTACTGCTTTAATTTTACAACAATACACTCGGGAAAGTTCTTCCCTAAGTTAACAAAATTTCTTAAAAGAGAACTGCCTGTTTTATTGCAAAGGTTTATCCCACCGATGCTTCATATGTAAGAGAATGACATTTGTAAGTTATAAAATGGGAATATGGCTAAAACCAGACACTAATTTCAGATGTGAACAACTTAACACAATTCAAATAAAACTCCAGATCCTACCCACCAAACCATGGCATATTTCACAAAATGATATATACATCATGCATAGTTTTCATAACAAAATGAATATTTTTTGGTTATAATGAAAAAAATATTAATTGAGCACCAATATTAAATTCCAATACACTTGAACATTGGATTCAAGGGCTTGGAAATGCCTTCCATCTCACTTCCTAAGTGGTTTCACAGTTTGATTAGAGATTAAAACAAGAATTTTAATGTTTTTCTCTTTTTGCATTAAAGCCAAATGTGGGTCCGTGTTCCACCCTGCTACCAGGCACAGCTGTTGGGGAGATGAAATGTGGGGAACTTTATGTGGCGCTTATCCCAGTGCCGCAGCAAGGCAGGTGGACTTCAGGGAACCGTTGAGACACTGATCATGGGGGAGGAGGGATGAGATTCGAGAAAGCTGAAGCTGGCATTCCCTAACTTCCGGGCATCTAATTGCAGTTAGAAAAATCACACAGAGAAGTCGGGCACAGAAAAGTTGGGTGTGTTGTGGGGAGGGGAGGTCCACAGGCCGGCGACAGGGCTGGGACAGGCACTGCTGAATTGTGAGGAGTTGAGAGCAGAGAATGACGACTAGCCTGGGGCCAGGGGGAATGGGAGCTCCAGCTTTGCTCTTCAGTGAAGGCCCTTAGCTTGGCTGCAGTTGTGGCTGGGAGTGCAGAGAAGGCCTTCTGTGGGAGAATTAAGTTGGGGCTCTGTAAGTGAAGGCCTGCTCCATGCTCCCCATAGTGGTTCTGGATGAAAGAGACAGTCCTTGGTTCTAAACTGTTTATTGGTTGTTCATTGTGGAAAATGGATGAATGCCATACCAACTTCTCAGAGTGGAGCCAAGATGAAATACCTTCTTCAGGGAGGAATGTCTGGAAGAGGAGCTTATTGACTAAACCCTCAAGGCCTTCAGGTACCCCATTAGCATTTATGTAGGAAGTATGGCACGAGTTCCAGGCCAGAAATTTGGCAGGGAGCAGGGAGGCACCTATCATCTCAGGTGTGTATCCACTGAGTTTCTGGAATCTCAATCTTCTCTACCCACCAAGATTCCTGGCATGGTTTACCATCCCACAGCCAAGTTGGTATTTAACAAAAAAGTGTAAGGAGTTACAGCACTAATGGGCCTAAGTCTTAGAAATAGGCACCAAGCCTCCCACCGTTGCCCTTACCAGTCCTTCAGATCTTACTCTATAGTATGTTCCAAACAAATACCTGAAACCAGAGGATGAAGATGCAGCAGGAGACGGGTTATCTGAACATCAACAGGAAAATATTCCAAAGACCCAATTTGTGTTTTCAACAGAGGGATAGCTTAGATAACTACCAAATGCTTCCTAAAACTAATCTTTTTAAAAACAAAAAAAAGCAAGATTTATTTACTTATTTTATGTTTATGAGTACACTGTAGCTATCTTCAGACATACCAGAAGAAGGCATCAGATTCCATTACAAATGGTTGTGAGCCACCATGTAGTTGCTAGGAATTAAACTCAGGACCTCTGGAAGAGTAGTCAGTGCTCTTAACCTCTGAGCCATCTCTCCAGTCCTCTAAAACTAATCTTAACAAGAACAGAGAAAGGCATCTGGAAGAAGGACTTTTGCTACCATGAAACTAACTAGTCAGATAGCTTTAGAATATGTAGATGTTCTGTCTCCCTTTAGGGTATTTTTAAAGCCCTTCAAATCAGTGTCCTTCAGGAGTGATGAAAATGAGTGATATATATTAGTCTTGTCTGCTACTATTGACACTACATTGAATAGTGTACCTTCCCCAATTCATACATCCTTAATTAGGCACTGTCTCTGTAGATACAATTAAGTGAAAGTGAAGTTATACAGGGTTACTATGAGCTCTAACCTAAGGGTCAATATATCTATGACAAGTGGCAAATTTGGGCACAGAAACACAGACAGTATAGTGCCTTGTCAACAGAGATAGAACAGGAGCATCATAAATTTAAGGAAGGAATGCCAAGGCTTGCCAGCATTCACTTGAAGCTAAGGAAAATGTAAGTGGTAGATACCCTGCCATCACCTTGACTTTAGTCTTCTAGCCTCCAGGGGCATAATAAATAAGTTTCTGGTATTTTTATATAACAAGTTTGTAGTAATACATTAAGGCAACCCTAGGTAACTAATATATTACCTTAATTGTTGAAGTGTCAAAAGTAATAGCTGTTAAGATTAAGTGACTGGTCTTAAGAGAGGGGAGGTCTAATACTAAGACTTCTTGAGAGCTCATACACTCACTGTTACCTATCAGCATCACTACCAATGGAGAGTAGTCAGCAACAACTACTAGGTAGAATATTTTCAGTACAAACATGCTACATTTTATAATGAACACTAGCAAATTAATAGGATCTCTCCTTTTTAAATGACTCTATTTTAATGTTGTATAAAAACAAAAGAGGTCCTCAGGAACATTTTCTATTTAGATGGCTCTATTTAACAGCAGTCAAAGGTCTATATTTTGATATTAAAAGAATACTACGTCATATAAAAGCTTCATCAACATTTCATGGTAAATAATGGCATTTTGATCCTGAATAGATATTTTACAACCAGCAAAATAAAGAAATAAGAATTTAACTGCTTTTTAAAAGAAAGGAATATTAAAAGCTGAACAGAATTGTGAGTAACAGTATTAAAGGTAGGCCATAAGAAAAACTGGAAGAAGACTTACTACCAATCTTGAGGACAGGTCCATGTATCCCAGTTTTTCCAGGAGGTTATAGATGAGGTTCGTTTGGAACAGGGCTTCAGTGATGGGTGCAGTGTGGGTCTCATTTCTAAGATAGTCAATCAAATCAAATGCCATCCGAATATGCACTTTGCCAAGGCTATAGAATAAATGAATGCAAAATATAAATCTACTGAAACACACGCATAACTTCATGGAGGAAAACTTTATAGTGAGTACTGAGTTCTGCAGACAAGAAACTTAGGTTTACAGTAGCATCAGACAAAGTTAGCCTCAAGTAAATATATTTATGTGGCTCACAGGTAAAGATGCAGTTTAATAGAAAGATACATCAACAGCTCATTTTTGGATCCAGAAGTCATCTATATTATTTGGCACTAAGTAAAAGCATTACATTGTCTTGGAAAAGACAATTGCTATTAATTTTATTTACTAATTACTTCTATCTACCACAAGATTAGGGGTAGCATACCCTCTATCTAAATTAGTATCTGATTCAGAATACCTGAATCAGAAAACAGACAAATCTTATTTCTTGCTGTAAACTCAGTTTGCCAAACTGTAAACTCTCTGAACCCAGCCTGATGAAGTTCCAAGCCAGCCAAGGCTACAAAATGACACTCCGTCTCAAACAAAAAAATAAACTACTAACTAACTAACTAACTAGGCAGTTTGTAAAAGTCATAGCAGTAATGGTTGAATGAACATAACAAGGCTACTTCATATTTAAAACGTAAGTCAAAATTTGGAAAGTAATAATGATGAGTATTCTTTGTGTTTCTAGGCCTGGAATAAATCTAAAATTTATTTCTTCAGAAATAAATTTTATTTCTAAAATTTACTCTTCAGAAAACACTTCTACAAAAGACCACTGCCATTTCTTGGCTTTGGGCTTTTATAATGTATATGGTGGTTGGGGAGGTAACCCACACATGTATAAGGAGGCTCCAGTCACTAGAGATGCTATTCAACCAATAGGTTAGCACTAAGCTTTAGGCAGAAGCCAATTGCTACAAAATAACATGAAGCTTAAATTCTTTTTTTTTCCTTTTTTTTAAAAAATCCAATCATAATTTTTACTTATTCACACAGGGGTTATAAACACAAAAAGGCAGGACGTGGGGAAGGGGATGACACCAGAGCGTGGGTGTTCAGGGGGAGTACAGATATCTTTCAGGACAGGGTATCGGCTGGGTGAAGATTCAGGGGACAGGTCACTATGACTCTACCTATGATTCACTTGTCCTTATCTAAGTTGGTACTATCCGCCAAGGCTATCTATTTACAAGGTCTATGACTACTAAGCTTGAATTCTTAAGACATTTTTACTGAACAAAATATGTATCTGACTTTTGGTATCTATTCTTGAACTAGTAGTGGATTCTATTTTATGCTAACTATTCAATGTGTCTATAGCTGATGTTTCTATCATATTATAAAATCTCCGAAAGCAATGAACATGTTTAACATTTTCCAAATCTTCTAAAACGCTACCTAACAGTCAATATATACTTGTTCTTTCAACCTGTTCTCTGACTTGATCTTTATTTCAATAACATTTAAAAACATGACAATAACAATGCAAATCAAGAATACTCTACCCTGCAAGTTCAAAGATGTTATTGATCAGGTTGGCTCGGTCTTTGTCACTCAGAACATAAGGATTTCTTTTTAACTGGTTGATTAGAGCTGCCCAGTCATCATCAGCATAGTGAACAATGTAATAGCCAGTCATGTTTGTATTGACTTTGACCCATTGCACTTGTTCTGTAAGATTGATGACACCTAAGAGAGGAAAAATTAAAACATTTTTCCTTTGGTAGTCTCAAAGTTAACAAAGTATGTTTTTATATCTATGCTTCTTTTAAGAAACTAAATGCCTATGTGCTGGTACAGTAAGTTTCACATTAATGAGGGTTGCTACTCATTCATTTAAACATTATTTATTCATCATACATTATTAGTTCTAGGATTAGGCACTAGAGAACAAATGACAAATAAGACAGAGGAACTTGGTTTTTGTTTTTGTTTTTGTTTTTTTTTTTCCAAATCGTAATTTTTACTTATTCACACAGGGGTAATAAACACAAAAAGCAGGAAGGGGATGACACTGGAGTGTGGGTGTTCAGGGGAAATACAGATATCTTTGTTTTTATGGTCTAATAAAAGCACCTAGAAACATCACATAAGTGTCACTTGCAGAAAAAGAAAACACAACATCCATGGAAGCACACAGAAATATCTCACTCTAAAGGGCAATCTGGAGAGGCTTTGTGAAGGAAGAAATGTCTAAGATGTCAGAATACACAAGCCTTAAGAAATTATGCATGGGGGAAAAGAGATGGTATAAAGAATGGAATAGCAGCTAAAATAGTGACTGAACTATGCAAAGTATGTCCCATCTCAACCTTTGTCTTTTATTTTACTAGCAAAGAAAAAAATTTAGAAAATAATTCAAAGCTATCAAAATAAACTTTAGAAAAAGCTTAAGGTTTTGTTGGGCACAAGATAAATAGATGAGTTATTTATTTTTTTTAACGCATACTCATGTATGTGTGTGTATGTGTGTGTTAAGAGAATTGTTTAAAATGCCTATGGATTTTGGGAGGAGAGACAATGTATAAATAAACAGGAAACTGACTAGAAAATATACTAATGAATTTTCTTTTTCTTTTTTTTTTTTGTTTCATTTTGTTTTTGTTTTTTGAGACAGGTTTTTTGTGTATAGCCGTGGCTGTCCTGGAATTCATTCTGTAGACCAGGCTGGCCTCTAACTCAGAAATCCTCATGCCTCTGCCTCCCAAGTGCTGGGATTAAAGGCGTGCGCCACCACTGCCCAGCATATGAATTTTCAACATGCTTAAAATTACAAATAATTATGTTACTAAATACTAAAATTACTAATAAAAATGTTCCTAAAAGTTGACAAGGATGTAGGTGTAGCAAGAGAGTCATGCTTGGAAAGACCTGAGGTGAAGATTTGCTAGAACAAGCACAAGCCCTATGTGCTGATCCTTCACTAGTAACTTCTCAGTCGATATAGTGAAGAATCTAGCAGATTACAAATTCTTATCAAATGAATGAATAAATAATGACTAAGGTTATAACAAATAATTTCAAGCCACATTAAAATCTGAATAATACATTATCTTCTGATCATAAACTAAAAATATACATTTTTAACTATATAAAAAAAAACTTATCTAAACTCAATGACACTGTAGTGTATGTTTAGTGTTATGCTTCTGCTATACTTGTTTGAATTAATGTAGTATTTCCTACAGTTGTCCTCCATGTGTTTATATTCATCCTGCATCTTTACCTTTAACTTCCCCACCCTTTCACTTCCATTATCTTCATAAGCAATGCCCAAATAGCCAACTTTTCATTTCAGGATTTGCCCCAAATCTCCTGTTCTGAAACATTTAAAAATTTCCCTTATCATAATACTTGTATAGTGAATTATTTTTATACAAATTGCTTTAGAAACATATTCTAGAATGAAAGATATGTTAGTACTTGAAGTTTCACTTAAAGATTGTCAAGTTCAAAAACATATATTATTAGAATTTATCTGATTCCTTTTATTACTCTAATTTTGCTGATATTGTGGACATACTGAAGATGGAAATGCTTCTAATTATATCTTAATAGAACTATCAGTCCTTTTCATTAAAAGATTCAATATTTATTTATTTTTTATTCTTGACAGGAAGGATCAATTAGGTGAAATAAATTCATATTACTCTTTTTTCAGAGTAATATGTAGTTCTGGTATTTGTGAAGGAAAAAGTCATGTTTCCAGGTTAGGGCCACTGTAAATAGGCTTCTAACTGATGAGAGTAATTATATCATTAGCTAATCCAAAAAGTACCAATATTCTCCATTTGGGTTAGCCATCACAACATTGTATGCCACTTTTAAAAATAAAGCCTGGGGAAGAGGTATTACACAGCCCCATCTCCACTGACCTAAAAAGAAATAGTAAGCATGGCCACCATTTCAGTGGATAGGGTCAGGAAATGGTGGAATAATGAATATTTTCACTGATAAGCATGTACTATCCTGTAAACCTGGTTAACCCCAGATGTTAGAGAGAAGAAATACAGCAGGTAGTATATCTCAAATTATGACTGTTATCAAGTTGCCAGAACATTAGCAACATAGCCAACAGCAGGAGGAGATAGGAGATTCATCATTTAAAGGATAGTATAACCTAGGATGCAGGACATCAAAACCATAGGTATCAAAAAATAATCGCTTTATACATAAGGACAAGACTGGTTGCTAGCTCAAATGTAGATGAAACTACTTTTATAAGTTTTTAATTTATTATAATAATTAACAGATTAACAGTTTCATTTTCATAGTCTATTGTATAGTAAAATAAAGAGTGAGCAATTTAATCTTAAATGGAAAAAACCCAGACAAAGTAATCTGTGATTTTAAAAACTATTTGTTAATAAGCTATGAAAATCAACTACTGTTTTATCAAGAAATATTGAAGTCCTGAAACAAACAAATAAAAATATATGTTACTATAAAATTAGGAAATATGACATCCAGGCAGTTACCATCCCACAGATTAGCTACAGCCCTTGCAAAAGCCCTTCTTTGTATCACTTCCTTTACTCTTTTATCTTATTAAGTAGAAACAAAGATAACAGCACAAGAAAGTATGTCAGTAAATTACCTCCCTTCTTTTCCTTTTTAATTGCTTTTCCTTCCAAGGATACATCTTTTAGTTTCATAGAAATATTTCTGGGATAATGATATACTTTTTCAGAAACAGACCATTTCCAGTTAGAATTAAATATCTCCTAGAGTTAAATATTTTGGGTTTAAAAATATATGAAATCTAAATAACAGAAAGGTAAGAAGGACAAAGTAAAAATTTTTTTAGCATAACCTAAAATAGGATCCCCTTTAGCCTGTTGCTATGTGTTATTATTCAACAACAACATGTATGGGAAAAGGTGGCAAAGATACTAACTGAACTATTACATAAAACTGAACTAGTAAATTAAGCTCAGAGCCCTGTTGTAGACCTAAGAAACCAGAGGATCTTATAGTTCTGTAATTAAATCTTCTCTGCTACAATTTAAGGATGGGGGAAAAAAAAACGCAACTAAATTGAGAGTAATTACTATCGGAGTTTCAAGGGCCAAGAAGATTTAAGTGTCCTTAGGGTCAAGCATTTCCTTATAAGAGGGGAGTGGTTTCATTCAGTGTGTACACTTAAAATCTGAACTGGCAGAAATTAAAGCAGCAACAGTCAGAGGGGAACTATGTTATTAGTGACAATTATATCAAATTGGGCAAGTTCTAGCTGCAGATTCAACAATCATATTCCTTTTTGTATATTCCCATTTACTATGAGTTTTACCAATGAAGAAAAATAAGACATTTCATTTGGCTGTAAATGTTCTTTCTTAAAAAGTTTTTATAGTCAACATTATAATTCAGTGATTTCATTTATTCATTCAGTAATTATTTATGCATCTACTACACGTTAAGTTCACAAATGTGATTTATAAGCCACAATATTTACCCTCAAGGGAAGATAACTATAACATGGGGAGAGACACAAGTAGACAGTATTTACAGAATATTCTGAGTAGGAAGTACAAACTGTTATTTGAAACTATAAACTAGAAATCTGCCTTTTCTTGGGATGCTGAGGTCTTTGAGGAGCAAGCCATGCCTTAGCTAATGGCTGAAGAATGAATAGGAGGAGGTCAAGGGAGTGGAAAGTCAGGGTGTTCTTCAAGGAGAAAGCATAGCACACAGAAGAATTTAGACACAAACATGGCCTGTTTGAGGTGCTAGAAAATATTCTGTGCAGCAAAAACAGGTAAGAGAGATGGCGGGGAGTAGGAGGAGGTATGGTTGGAGAGGATCATAGAAAAGAAAGAGGAAAAGGGGAAAGGAGGGAATAGAGGAGAATCCAGGGAAGGGAGTAGGAGGAGGAAAGAGAGAAAAGGTAAGAAGTAGATCGAGGTAGAAGGAAAGGAAGAGAGGGAAAGCAGGAGACAGGGGACAGGGAAAGAATGAAGAAGAGAGGGAAAGAAAAACAGGGAAAGAGAAAAAAGCATAGTGGGGAGGGGGAGGAAGGCAGGCTATGGTTCGAGCATATATGTCTCTCTACATGCATATGCTGAAAGCTCAGTCTCAAGCTAGAAGATCCAGTCATTGAGAAGGAACTTCTTATCTCACTGGTAAATTGGTAGAGAATAGGCTTGGAGGACATAGGGTCTGGAGAAGAAGGTTATTACTCTGGAATGTCTCCATAAAAGTATAACCTGCTAATGTTTTTCTTCTCTTCTCCCAGATGCAAGGATCAGAAAACTGTCAAACTGTGAGCTAAAATAAATCTTTCTCCCCTTTAAATTATTTTTATTTTTCTGTTATAGCAACTAAGAGTTGACTATGGTAAGGAATACGTAGGAAAATTGGAACTATTTTATAAAGCATAAATCTCAAAAACAGTTTACCACACACATATAAACAGAACTTTGTAAAGAGCCGATGGGAGCAGATTTCTTATTGCCTATTTCTAATACCAACAAAAATTTAAATACTATTTTGAAGTTTGCAAATTTTCTTTACTGGCTCCTTTTAAATGCTGCATTGCATTTAGACTATACTGCTTTATGTCTAGAGGGGAAGGTTGCTCCTCTTCTTTGGGTCAGAGCACCGTTTTAGGAATTTCTGATGTTTAGAGTTCTATTTCACCAGGGAAGGCAACACTTTTTCATATGTTAATCAAAGAAATGTTGGGATCACTTTCTGCTTCCAGCACTATACATAGTGAGAGTGTTGTGTGGGTAGTGTGCTCTGCTGTAGTGTGTGGTAAAGCTACAATGAAATGGCACATTCATCGTTACTTACTCGGAAGAGCAACTTAGCGTCAGTACCCAATCCCAAACCTAACAGTCTACAATTTCGAGAAGCACAGATTTAAAAAAATAATAATCTTATCTAATATTTTTATTAGGAAATAATTTAATAAGACAATTGATGAATCATGGGTATATAAGAATGAATATCAATTAACATATATTTTTAAAAGGCAAGATATGGAAATCATATGTACATAATGATTTCAAGTAGAAAAATTGTAAAATGATAGGCAAGCACTAAAGGTTCTTTAGTAAGGACATTAGTAATGATGTCTAACATGATCTTAACACATGCCAGATATTATTTTAGGTGCTTCATATAAATAAACTCTAAGAATCCTTATCACACTCCTATTTTAGAGTAGGTGCAAGGAGGCTAAACACCCCATCTAAAATCTAGTTAAATGGAAATGGGAGAGCCATGGTGTGAACCAGACAACTGGGCTTTACACACCCATCAAAATGTAGATTTGAAAACAGATCCAAATTTAAGCAAGAACATTCCCTTTTTCATAAATCTAAAGTATTCATTGCTGATTCACACATAATCCAAGAGTCTTATGTTCTTTTAGGATGTTAATTAAAAGGACATATATGCAGGTATCACAGATGTATTTCACAAATGGTTAGAAATTACATTTCAATAGTTTTTTTATGGATTCCTTATGGTTAAATAGATACAGATCAACTACCAATTTTCTGAAAAGTTTGGGGCTAGAAGTGTTTCAAATCTGGAACACTGTAGATTTTCTACCATTTGTACAGATTTTACTAATAGAACATTTGTAATCTGGAAATCTTAACCCTAAAATGGTCTAAAAATTTGAACTACTCTGAATGTTATAATGAAGCTCATATAGGGATACTCAGCCTGTATCACTGTCATGATTTATTCCTTGTTATCATACTTCCTTGGGCCGTTTTTCATTACTAAAGAATGTCTATGTCTACAAGATATGTTGTAACATGCATTTACTGTAAATTTAGGTCATGAATCAACTTTTATTATACATATAAATAATCTATAAAATGCTTGTTAAAATGCATTGGCTCCAAGACAGACTTTGAAAGTAGATAATAACATTTTAAGCAACTGCTCTGGTTCTTTTACTTATTTTAAAACATAAAATATTTATCTAAGACCTAAAAATAAAACATTGCCAAAATATTCCTTAAAATTTCTTTAACCTTTTTTAAATTTAAATTTATTATTATCTTTTTTACTTACTCACTTTACTAACCTCATTTCTTACAACTAAAAGCCAATTCTATACATATAAAGAGTTAACCTTATTGTAGTCAAATGTTGGACGATTATTTATGACATTAGATCAGAGAATGTACATACTGGAAAATATAATCTATTATCTACTCTATGTTAAAATTACACTATTAGTAATTTTTTATCAGAAAGGTACTAATTATAGTCACACCTGATTTCTTGTCCAGTAGTGAAACTGATCGGTATTCTGAATAGTTTCTTCCATCAGTGACATAGGATATTGGAATATGCCAAAGGTGGCTGCAGAAGGAAAAGATTGGAGGTTAGCTTTCTTCCTGTTATTTAGATGTGGTTTCAGACAGTGACTGGAAACTGAAAGCTTCCAAACTCCTTTTAGAGAGGGAAGACCTCATCAGGTTTCACAAGAAGGATGGTATAAAACATGTAAAATTCTTATGCCTGAAGTTGGAAACAAGACAAGCTGGGAAGAAAAATGGATGATACCTTGTATCTGAAGCCTGAATTTCTGGTTGCATGCTTAGAAAAAATCTTTCTTGTTGTAGAAGAAGCTCAGTCCCCTTCCTCTGGACAGTCACTAATGGGAATCCTTTCTGTAGGGTCCAGGTTTTCATCATTTTCTTTACATCTAGAGTTTTGTCTGTGACCTATTAAATTAAGAAGAATTAATTTCTTAATTCTCTTTTGTTGTTGTTGTTTGTTTGTTTGTTTTTCGAGACAGGGTTTCTCTGTATAGCCCTGGCTGTCCTGGAACTCACTCTGTAGACCAGGCTGGCCTGGAACTCAGAAATCCGCCTGCCTCTGCCTCCCAAGTGCTGGGATTAAAGGCATGTGCCACCACCACTCGGCTAATTTCTTAATTCTTAAAGATAAAATTAATATAAAAGTTTTAGTCTACTTTGCTTGTACCTTTTCCTTTTTCCTTAATCTAGTCCATAGAATTGATACTGAGTTGAGTTTACACTTTTTATCACACTAAATAAGGAGCTGCTTAAGCAAACTAGCTTGGAATGTGAGGAGGAGTTTCAGCATGAACGATACCATGCTGAAAAGCAGCAGGTGCACTACCAACCTGCAGAGTTTAACATCAGAATTCACAGAGGGTAGAAGTGAACTTTTGAGCTACAGCACCTCCACTTCACAAAGATGCAATGGGTGATATGTATTCTAGGATGGAAGCATTGTAACTCAGTCCTGAGAAGCAGCAAGTCTATACTCTTCTTTATTCCCTACTCTGCGTCTTCACTGTCTTTTAAGTATACAGTCTTGGAGGGTGGGGGGGGGAGGTGCTAAAGGGTGATAGATAATGTCAGCAGCAGCTACAAAGAACTCTGCTCCCTCAACTGACTCTCTTAGAGAAAAACAGTAAACTCTTTTTGGTGATCATAGATCTAATTTCCCCAAACATATATACACATTTCCTGCAAAATCTAAAATCTAATGTCACAGATTATTTTAGATACTCTAAAAGCTCATTCCCTCCAAGACATCTGGTATCAATGATCAAAAAGTAGTTCATGATAAATGATCTCTTTAAAGCAAGAAGGTTATATTTTTGATTTAGCTTACTTTCCTGGATTACTCATAGATGTGAATTCAAGCCACCACATCATCATAAAACCTGAACTATTACATCACCAAGGCAGGTTCTACCTCAATCACTACAAGCTGTTTAAAGTATAGAAGTATGAAACAATGTTTCCCAGTTTCATTGAGGTATTAATCTTTTCTTTCTCATGGCTACAACCTATTTATTTCAGATCCAGTGGCTGGGAAGAAAAGCAAGATACTTTGAGAAGTTTAAAGCAGTAATCTGAAAAAATGAGACTAGTGTATAGTTTGATATGGATGCTGAAAAAAACTGAGAATGTTAGAAAATAGGTTGGGATGGAACAACAACATTATTTGCAGTGAGTGATGAAGGCAGGCATATGTTCCATATGTCAGGATATGTGTGATGGGAACCAAATGAGCAATGGCTCTTGATTGAAGTGTCAATATATGACTGGAGGGAAGATAATACAGAAACTAGTGTTAGGAAATAAAAATTATTTTCTTCTCCATAGCATAAATCAGTAGGAAAGTTCTATCTTTTGGGAGAAAAGTTAATACTAGAAAACAATATCATTCAGAGTGGGTGATGAGATCCAAAGTAAGGGCTTCTGACCCAGCATCCATAAGATTGAAACTATGTTGTGTTTTGTATGTGGTTTTGCTGAAGGAGATGACATGAACTTTTATTAGGTCTTCAGCTCTATCTGTGATCTTGCAGAGAACAAAGAACCACCAATTTAGATCAGAGTAACAAGCTTAAAAACCTAAAGGATTGTGCAGCCAACATATATGCATAGGCAAGCTGGCCTCATACACTGCACTGAAGAAGAGCTTCTAATTACACTGCTGGTTATAAAATGGCAGTGTAACAAAAACCAAGAGACAAAACAATTCAAAGACAGTATGGAACTTATAGCAGTATATTCCCCCCACCCCCACCCCACTACATTTAACAATAAACTCGGTAATTTGAGAGGCGCTAATGTAGGAGGAGCAAAGGAGAGGAAGAGGAGAAAGAAGAGGAAGAGCTAGGAGGAGAGGAAAGATGTAACAGCCATGGAGAACCATGCATAGGTCCAGGATGGTCCTGGGTAACGATTTATATCTTAAGGTTAGATATTGGGAAACAACTCTAACTGTGTGGGCAAATTGTTAATTGAGCATTTCTAAGTATATAAAGCCTTTGGATAATAATTAAGCTTTAGAGTTTCATTTCTACCAGGGACCGATTGGATGGCAGCTATTGTCTGGGGGCTCAGCCAAGCTTTGTGGAGACAGCGTGGTAGACTGGCAGAGCCATCTCATGGGTGCCAGGGCCAGTGCTTCTGGCCAGCCTGAGCCAGTGGCCTGAGCTGAGCATCGGTAGGAGCACGCTGCTGCTCATGGTCTCAGGCCTTGTCTAGTTGGAAACATGGTGGCCCCATAAAACAAGCTAGATTGGGCCACACCGTTTTAAATTTTAACTGCAACAGGAACTTATGGTGATCATCTTGTGATATATCACTGAGAGGGATCAGGGCTCTCAAATCAAGAGATTCATAGGGCTCTATATAGAACCATTAATTGAAAATAGAAAAACTAGAAAAGGTAACTACGTCAAAATAAGTTTTTTTGCAAAAAGTATCAAAAATATATAATATTCATTACTATTGAGGAGAAAATTTTTCCTTACTTAGCAAACTATGAATGTAGATTCAGGTACAGGATGATATGAACATCCATGGCCAGATATACTTTTTTAATACAACAAACAGTATTTTCATTTCTTGACTTTGATAACAAATACTTACATGCTAAGTTCTATCTTCTCTCTCTTAAATAACTTTCATTGGTACCATTTCTGTATGTGTTAACTGAACTGAATTATCCACATTACTCACCTCATTGAAGCTGTCCCAGAGATCATCACTTTGAATAGCTGCATAGCTGTGGTTGTGCAGGTAAAGAATGATAGCATGCCGAAACACATCTTCACTAAGGTAACTTTTCAACATCAACAAGAGAGATGCTCCCTGTTCAAAATATTGAGAAAGAGAGAAGAAAATACCAGGCTATTATAGAATACAGAATCAAGAATCTAAGATTGAAAATATATTATTTCTAAAATATATGATTTTATATATACACCATAGTACATTATTAGTCTTCCATGTACACAGATGTAGACTATATTTAAATATAATTATTTAAAGATATAAACATTAGAAAAGGGAGTTAGGTTCCTATGTACATTAAATTGGCCATGAGCCATTCTTTGTGGCCTTTCAGTGTACTTTGCTGTTTTCATGTCAGCACTGAAACAGTCAGCATGTGTGTATTTTTAATAGAAAAATGACAAATTTTCTATGGCATCTCTTTCCTCATCTCCGATGCATAAAGTGCTAACTGCACCCATGAGCATACAATGAGGAAACACAATCAGTTAGCAGAGCTTTGCAAATCTCTCTGGTGTCAGTAATTACATTCTAATTTTAGTCTCCCATGTTACTGAGACTATCAAGATCTTTCTTCTTCTAAAGAAATGTATTATATTAATAAATGTACAGATGAACAAGCAAACACTAAGACTCCAAACTGAACTTGCAAGTATTCAAGCAATAATATACTCCCTCACACACACATCGCATTTCTAATCAGGAAACAACTACCTGTTTGGTGTCATTTCTTATTTGCAAGAGAAATCAGGTTGCTCTATTAGCAACTGATACTATTTTCTATATCTGGCATATGTTATATTTTCTATACTTAAGGCTAGTTAAGTGACCAATTCAAAGATGCAACTACAAAAACAGTGCCTACTACATACAATGCCTAGAAGCACTAAACACAATGTTTGAGTGAATTTCAGTTGTGATAAAAATGTAGTAGCAATATCAAGCCATCAAGATTATCAGCATAGATAAATTTAATAGCCATTACACTCATTTTTTTACTCTATAGCAGTATTTATTCTATAAATGTAAACATTCTTTTTCTCAACAGTCCCTTCTTTTCTCCTACATGATCAACTTTCTCCTTCTCCTCTATAATACTCCCATTAAACGTTCTCTCATACCGCCCCTCGTGTGTGTGTGTGTGTGTGTGTGTGTGTGTGTGTGTGTGTGTGTATGTGTATGTGTATGTGTGTTATTGACTCTTTTCATACCTCCTTTAGTTATCACACTAGTTCTTTCTTCTCATTTGTAGTAAAACTCTTCAGAATCATTGGCATTTTCTCTCTTCCTATGTTCTTTTGAACCACAAACTAACCATTATCTACCAGCAATGTCATAACAAAGGTCCCTAGTGAATCTCCCTGGTGCCAGATCCATCTCAGTTCTTTTACTCACCTTATCAATAATGCACCAATAGCAGTTAATATGATTAATTACCTTCTCCTGTTTGAAACTCTTTATGCACACAGCCTTGGGATAGTGTTCTGATTTATCTTATCTTTCCAATGACTAAAGTTTGGCATGCCCTGCCATTTAATCCTTGGACCTCTCTTTTTCTCTACCTAAATTTGCTTTCTAGTTGTTTTCTACTGGCTTTAACCCCCTGATTTACATATACTTAGATTTTTTTTCCTGAATTCCAGACTCATATTCAGCTGCCCACTTGGTATCTCCACTGGTATATCTAATATACATTTCACTCTTAAAAAACTCAGTTTTTTCTTTGTCCCATATCTACTTATCTACTTAACCAGTAGCCTTCTCCATTTTAGTAAGTGACAATTCTAACTTCCAGTTGTTAAGAGAAAATTGTTTTTATCATGTGTGTGTGCACACATGGGCACAGGTGCATGCCCAGGTGGTGGATAAGTGTAGGCTAGAAGATAGCTTTCAGGAGATGCTTCTCTCCTTCCATGATGTGGATGCCAGGAATAGAACTCATGTCTAGCTAGCCCCCAGAAAATAAAGCTGCTAATATTATGCTTGACTCTACTCATACATTCTACATATAATCTACCAGCATATACCAACTGGATAATTTTTGTATACTCTCCAAGTCTAACCATATCTCATTATTATAGTTCATCCATGACAACTACTTAAACAGTTATCTTGACTCCATGTGCTGTTAAACACTGGGCATAATTTTTAAAACATTAAGACATGTCATGCTACTTCACCTAGAATAAAACATCCTTACCATATATTACACTTCATAATGATTTCACTCCATGATTCTGTTGATGTCATCTACTTTTCATTACTTATTCTACTCTGCTACTTACTTATTCTGCTCCTACCTTATGCTTGAACATGAAAAGCATTCTGTCATCTTAAGTTATGTGGGACTTGCTAACTTCAGTCCCAGGCTTGATCCAGCACTAAAAGGATTCACAAATTCAGCTGATAGGCATACTTACAATTATAATCTATGACAATGAAAAGATTCAAGGAAAAATCAGCTGAGGGGCAGTTACAAAGTTTAAAAGCCAGACAGCCTTCAATTTTCCTCAGCATTTTCCCAGAATACAGGATGTACTTCTTTCCTTTAGCAAGTTGTAATAGTGTATGGAATACTGTTAACTAGGGTAACTGTTAAAAGAAGTTTGGCAATCAAATTTTGTTTGGTTTTGTTTTGTTTTGCCTAGGCATAAAGGGTGAGCATAGAAGTATCCTCTTTTCTGTACATACCCAAATTCCACAGCTCCCAAAGAACAGAAGACACTCAGTATAACTACATTTTTGGTATAATTTTGACAGAGTAAATCAATTTGATCATAAACACTACAAATGCCCCTAAACCTGGCCTGCCAGATGCCAGCCAAGGAATAGGTTTGTAGGTAGACTACCAAAGGGTAGTTGTTCTGACATTGTGATATTAACTTTTTTCTGCACATGAGGTCTATAGTTTAATTAGCTCTGCCTAAAATATTTGTCTCTGGGAACCCATAGGCTTCATTCTCAATGGCATTACAAATATTGCCTCCTCACAGTGGCCTCCCTAACTATGCTATATGAAATGGCATTTTCTTTGTTACTCTCATTTCTCTTCTTTATTTCATCTAATACGGCACCTGGGTTTTTTTGTCTTGAACAAAGAAATGGATACTCCACAGAAACACTGTCAAGTTTGTCTCCTGAAGAACCTCCAGAGTTTACAACAGAGACTGGCACATGGTACTTTTCAAAACTAGCCAATGAATGAACCCTCACAAGGCAGCCTGCATCAGTGGCTTGGTGATTATGAAGAACAAATGGAATATATCTGTCAAATACACTTCCCCAGTCATTGTTTTTTCTTGCACAAAATACTGGAATTATTCATTCTGTGTGATGTGGGATATTCATCAAATTTCCAATAGTAAAATAAGTAGTTACCATATTGTCAGGGGTTAAGTATGCTACTGAAATCTCATAATCAGAAATTATGAATTCTGGGTTTAGATGGATGATTGGTGTCAGAATTTTGTTACTAACACATCTTGAAATAGCAAATTTGTTTACCCTTTCTATAGCACAGAAACATGTTTAAAATTTTTCCTTACTGACCATTCAAGTATGGTCTATAAAAAAATCACTATAGTAAATAACTGGAATACAGTAGCTTCCTTATTCAGAGGGGATAATTTCCAAGACCCTAGGAGATCATACAGCACAAAACTTTACATATGCAATGCTTTCCCCTATAATACAGTTTAATAAATTAATTAAGTAAATAGAGTATTAATAATTCCTAATAATAAGATAAACAATTGTAACAATATACTATAATAAGCCATGTAAATGTAGTCTCTTTCAAAATATTTTACTATAGTGCAGATCTTAGCAAGAGAGGACGATGATTTTCTTTTCTTATAAAGTTAAGAACTTTGACTTAGTCACTTAAAGGAACCACTTTATACCTTTGCTTTGGCAACTACATAACTCTTGTACATTAAGGATCATTAATAAATAAAAGATATTTGACCACAAGCCCTAATTGAGCCAGTTAATCTGGTAATTGAGATGAATGGATAGGTTGCATATACAACATGATTACACTGGAGAAATGGTTGGCTTATGCCTGCACAGGACAGTATGAGCTTTTCCTATTATTCTGAATGACATGTAGTATAAAATTTATGGACTGATTATTTCTGGACTTTTCCTTTTAGTGTTTTTCCTAAGGTGCCTAATAATAGTTTACAGAAGCCAGAAAGAAAAACTGCAGATAAGGAAAAATTAGTGTGTGTGTATATTCAAATTAAAATCCTGATTTGTTATTAAAAATACTATTATTTACTTCATCAGTCTTTAATCTGGAAAACAGTTCTGCCTCTCCTTTATGTCTGACCCTGTCACTAACTCACTTTAGTTTTAGATCTGTTCTCTTCCCCTTGTTATGACCATTTGCTGCAAACGTTCACTAGTGCATGTCTAGTTGTCAGTGCCATGTCCCATTTGTGCTCTCAGAATCCACTTTGTAAACTGAATTCAATTTAAATTTTCTAAATATGAAGTTTAATCAAGTCATCCTTATGTTAAAAAAAAAAATCATAGATTTCTTATGGTACTTAGGACCTCCTGTAGCTGGGGCTCATGTGCCGGGAGCCAACCTGACTCCATTTTGAAAGAATAGTAGTTTTAGGTTTTGTTTTTCCTCAGCTATCAACTCCTGAGAAAGCAGATGGCCAGTGGTCACTGCGCCCTAAGGAAAGTGGTTGCTGCACCCTGAGCCAGACAAAAACATCAGGGCTGCAAGATATCCCCCATGGCAGAACGCACAGTTTCTGTGAAATTCCCTGCCTGCATAAATTGCCTGAGAAAATACAGCTCAATGGACCTTGATCAGAAAACTTGACTTGGTCTCGTTCTTTGCGTCTCCTGTCCCTTACATTCTCTACCCCTTTCTCTTAGGGTACCCTAAGGTCGGGGACTCATGCTTCCTTCCTTACCTTGCTAACCCTGGTCCCATCTCTGAATAAGCCCCAGCCATCAGAACTCCTGGTTCTTCCCTTCAAAGTGCACTGGTCCACCTCTGCCCTCCCCTCTTCCCTGTGCTCTTTGGATTCTGTCTTCAGCATGCATACATATTTCATAGTATTTCAGCACACACAGCCTTTCTTGCTCGTCCACATGTATTTACTCCTAAATTTGAGCTTTTTGATAGTATGGGATCTATCCTTGCACTTAATGTACTTTTTTCGCTATCTAGCACAGGGATTTACATTCCAAGTACTCGGACAACCAAACATAAGAGACTAATCAGCTTTAACATCATCCTTCTGACAGCATCCATTCATGTTAACACCAGTATCATACTTGCTCTGTTCTCCAACCTGCTCAGATCCTAACAGAGCTTCTACTTTCCATCCACTGCCCTGGTGTCTATACTTTACATCCTGAAGGGTAATTGTCAACTACTAAAAATAACTTTTTTTTCTTAATTTTCTTGGTGATCTAGAAAACACCTCAATTCTAAGTACCATAACAAAGGGCTAAGGATGCTCTTCTGAGCACACATTCTGTGTACAGATCCATGGAGAAAACTAACTTTGAAAGATGAATTATCACAGGATCTGCTTCAGTGCCTGAATACTAGTCACACTGATTAAGAGGGAGACAGAAACACAAACGTTAAGACAAAACTTTAAATAGATTTACATGTTTAAAATCTAAACAGTTAAACTTCAATAGGATACCCAAAGGCAACACTTATTCAGTCTTTAACACAAATCACACTGTTTGTTGACCTACAAAATGAATTCTATTAAAAGTACATTTCTTTGTGCACAGTGATACCTTAAAATAGGAAAGAGAATCAAACATTTCTTCTATTTGTTCAGAAGACTGAACAGATGATGATATTGGATGAGACGAGTTCAAGGAATCTTTCCTCATGGTTTTAAATCGAGCATCTAAGAAGTCTTCATACTAGCAAAAAAAAAATAAAGCAGTAGGAAGTCATGACCAATATAAAGGCACTTATAGCATTTATTTGAATTAAACAAATTGCTACAGAATGAAAAAAACCTGGCTCACTAAACTGCAGCATATAAACAATTGAAAGTAAACTGTATGCATTTTCTTACACTTAAAACTGTACTTAGAACTGAGGGATGTGACAATTAGCATTCCGAAGAAAAAGCATAACTGTAAAATTGAAGATCTGCGATTATCAGAAGCAAATTCCAAATCTGAATACCCAGATAAATATTCAACAAAGGTTAAAGTAGATTTTTAAAATAGAAATTGAAACTTAGAGCAGAAACTTGGTCCTTACTTTGATTTTTCTATTAAAACAATATACAATTCTTAGTTAAGGTTACTTAAAATAAAAATACAACTCTTATTCTGAAAGCATTGAGAGCTCAGCCAAGAGTGTCCCTAGAATGAATGTTAGAATTTAAAGTGTTCTGAGCACCCCCAAGTGGTAAAACTGTGTATTTCATTGCTTGATTAAGTAGCACACATAATTTAAACTACTTATCTCAACTAAAAATTACTTGCAGTTGTAATCAAGCTCTATATACAGAAATGTCAAACCGGAAACTCTCAAGAATACTTCTTGTAAGTACCTAAAAAATGTATGTAGGGAGTCTAACAGCAAGTCACAAAATTTCAGGGTTGAAGACATTACTTTGTGGGAGACTGTTCTATAGTTTGAGGGGCTCACATTTCATGCTTCCCTTCAGCTACCTAATAATATTCAAATTAGCTCAGCAATACCTATCAAATTATGGCTTACTATGTCTGAAAATCCTTGAGTACTGGAAATATCTTCAAGCTCTACTGACACACTCACAGCACAATGCCTATCTATAACAGGATGGTATTCAAGTCTTTGAAACAAATATGTGCTTTGTATATAGCAATAGCAATTTTTTAAAAGATCTATTTATTTTACATATATGAGTACACTGTTGCTGTCTTCAGAGACATCAGAAGAGGGTATCAGATCCCATTATAGATAGTTGTGAGCTGTGTACTGGGAATTGAACTCAGGACCTCTGGAAGAGCAGTCAGTGCTCTTAACTGCTGAGCCATCTCTCCAGCCCTTGTTTTTTTATTTAAGAAACTTACGTTATTTAAGAACTGTTTAGAGTATATACTCAGTGACAATATAAGAAGCAGTATTGAGGTCAGTCTTTATTTCTTTTCTTTTTATACAAGGATTTTAAAATTACTTTCCAACTTTATTTAAATTCCTTCAAACAAAATGACCATATCTAATAAAATATAATAGTTAAAACATTCATCCTAAAGTAAAAAATAATCATTTTAATGTTCAATGGAATATATCAATATGCAAGAGTGGGTTTCATTGTTAAGTCTCCAGAATTAATTAATTAATTAATTAATTAATTTCAAGACAGGATTTCTCTGTATAGCCCTGGCTGTCCTGGAACTCATTCTGTAGACCAGGCTGGCCTCAAACTCAGAAATCTGTCTGCCCCTGCCTCCCAAGAGCTGGGATTAAAGGCGTGCACCACCACTGCCCGGCTAAGCCTCCAGAATTATTGATTTTACTATAGCTTTTAAACATTTTTCATTATCTCTAATTTGTAGAAAATCAGGGTAAATATTAACTTAAAATGTGTTTATTCCCTCCTCATAAGACAAAGAAACACAGTACTTACACTGTTGAGCTCTTTGAATATTTTTTCCACAGAGAAATATTCCATGAAAGTGGCAAATCCTTCATTCAGCCACAGGTCATTCCACCACTTCATTGTAACCAGATTACCAAACCACTATAAGAGAGACAAACCAGTAACCAACAGGACATGGATAGTCTCAGGAATTTCTTAATTGAATGCAGTATCAGGCTAACTGAAGATAATCAAATTAAAATATCTTAAACCAAAGTATACTCAGAGTAATTAAAGTCTTACAAAAGTTATACAAACTATCCCAAAAGTAAAGGATTTTAAAAGTTGTATAAACTGATTTTAGAAGTAAAATAAAAACTTCAACATTTTACCTTAACTGAATGGGAAAAAAGTAGCAAAGACTATATTTATTTATTAAAATATGCACAAATGTTTAATATGCTATATACATCATGCTATACAGGTAATGAAATTTTTAAGCTGATTCATTAAAGTGAAACTCCTTAGATAATGAAATTATCTGATCTAATATCAAGTTGGTAAGATTATTTTCCATTATATATATAATCATCTATGAGAAGTAAAGATTTTCCTGTTGCCAGAGGGTCTGGATTTCATGTTTTTCTTTCATTACCTGAGTTCAAAACACTGATTCTGACCAAAATTTGAATAATATTCCTATAGAAACCTGGTATGTGTGTGTCCTTGTGAATGCGTGTGCACACACACATATACACACATACACACACACACACACAAAGCCAGAGAAATCTTTCAATGGTTTATTATATATGGTAGTAAAAAGAAGGAAAAAAGTGAGAGACCTTCCTAAATAACATATGTTCAAAATAGTTTCATGTATGGAAAGATGGCTCAGGATTAGCACTTGCTCTACATCCCTAAGTACCTGAATTTGGATCTCAGCACCCATGTAACAAGCCACAACAAACTGTCTGCAATCCCAGTTTTACAGACATACAAACAGGCAAATCACTGGTATCATAGCTGTATGAGTTTCAACAAGTCATTTCATAAAGCTAAGTCAAAATTCATCTACCTGTAAAATGGGATTATCACCCACCTTAGAATGTTTATGAGATGAGACAATGGACGTGAAACGACTTAAAGGTGAAATCCTTCCCTTTGTCATTTTATATAACAGCAATACTAAAACCGCAGAATAGTAATATGCTTACTAACATACAGGTATTTACTTAAACTCTAGGGAGTGAGATATAATGGTACTGGTTGGTGATACCTGATGTGCCAGTTCGTGAGCAATGATTTTAGTGACCAGTTTTCTATCTGCTACTGAAGAAGTGGCATTGTCATACAGAAGGGTCTCTTCTCGGAATGTAAGCAGGCCCCAATTTTCCATTGCTCCAGCTTCAAAGTCAGGAATGGCCACCAAATCTGGACATGACAAGACAGAAGAGATCAACTTCTCATCTAAGTAACTCCCTAAGTCTCTGCCCAAAAGGTCTTTCATGATCCTTAACACGCTGAATCTTCCTTTTCCTCTGTCTAAATGCTCTCTGTACCTGGATATCGGGTGAAGAAGACCTAATCAGCAATTCCACTGTCCCCTAACAATGATAAAACCAGCCCATTTCCTTCACACTGAATCAGATTAGAGTGAGCAAGACAAAGTCCAGTCAGAGACCCACTATGTTCTTCAAAACCAGTGTCACACTAAACAAAACCTAAATCTCCCTGTCATGGGCTCCCAGTATATACTTTTATCATCTGAATCAGAAATTTCTTGGAAGTTAGAATTTCTCAAACTCCAAATAGAGCCTTAAGCAAATTTCGACAACCCCATAAACTTTTAAGTTATCTAAGTAATTTTAAGTCTAAGTTCAGATGTATAGATTGTAAATAAATGTTAACAAATAAAATTTTTACAGCATTAAAATTTTCTTTTTAAAAAATCTGGCAAAGGCTTTTTTAAAAAAAATCATTTATGATGCAAATCTTTGTTATAAATTGCAATAAAAATCAAAGAAACTATTTAATTCTTACCCAATTTCTTAAGTGGGTATTGAATTTCAAAGTAATTTTGATAAAACTCAAGGAGCTTTACAGTTGTGTCCAAGGCATGTTGAACTTGACCAATTTTTTCTGGTACAGCATATACAGAAACCTAAAGAGAAACATAATCCATGGTGTAATGGCAGGTAAAATTAATATGATATGCCACTCAGCTGAGCACTGTTAGGACCAGCGAATCCTCATAATTCTTCCACCCACACAGAACAAGTCATTCATATCTATACTTACACAAAAGAATTACTTAATGTTTTAATTTTTTAAAGCTTTCCCCAGTATCCCATACTATAGCACATCTCAGAGCAAATTATAAGCACTGTCACTAATGTAATGATACACTCTTACACTCCTGTAACTGACAAGTGGTCTTGCTTATGAACTGTGAAGATGAGTTATATGTAGCATAAAACTAAGGTGTTAATCCTTTTGGTACCTGTTATTGTGCCTGTTATTCAATCAACACTAACTACATACTCATAAATAAATATTAACTTCAGTTGTTGGCTTGCTTTGATGGATCATGTAATATAAGAAACAATCATATATCATGAGATACCCTCACTATGATTCAGGTCTCACCTTGCCAATTCACTTCAGGCTATACACTCAGAAAGAAATCATATAGAATTACACAGATTGCTTATAACTACAGCTATAAAGATTCCTGGTTACTCACAGCAAAGGGTTCTTTATGACTGAGGAATAGAGCATTTGGTAGGTTTAACCTGTTTGTGCCAACAAAAGCAGGCCCAAACCTTATCACCTGCATGAAAAGCAGTAATAGAGCCTGAAGGATCTAAAGGACACACTGGCCTTCCAAATAAGATTAACTGAACACATTACAAAAAGCATAAGTTCCTAACATAAGAAAGTGTTGAGTTTCTTCCTAATGACTGATTAGATACACTAGTAGGAAATGAAATCAAATGTGCAAAGTATACCAGGATGCTTGAAAGACACTTAGGATATGTCCTGACTAGTTTTATGTCAATTTGACACAATCCAGAGTTAACAGATAGGAGGAAACCACCATTGAGAAAATGCTGCCATAAGATTCAGCTTTAAGACATTTCCTTGACGGTGGAGGATGGTGGAGGGCCCAGCCCATGGTGAGTGGTGCTATTCTTGGGCTGGTGGTCTTAGGTTCTACGAGAAAGTAGGCTGAGCAAAGTCATAGAACCAACCCATTAAGCAGCACCCCTTCATGGCTTCTGTATCAACTCCTGTTTCCAGGATCCTGCCCTGTTTGAGTTCCTGTCCTGGCCTCCTTCAGTGATAAACAGTGCTGTAGAAGTGTAAGACAGATAAGATAAACTCTTTCCTACCCAAGCTAAGTTACAGCAATAGTAAGCCCTAACTAAGACAGAATAGAAATTACTTTAGAAACTTTGAACAAAAACATGTTTGTGAATAAATTAAAATTACAGCTATACTGATAGTACTGTTGAGGGTTCTAGTTAAGTTCTACATGTCAGATGTAGTACTCATACCTGACTAATTAAACAGATTCTATCATCTAGTCCATCTATAAAAAAAAAACAAATGTAGGAAGCAAGGAAACAAAATAGAAACCTCAAGAGAAGCATGAAGCAGCATTTTTCAAAACCGGCCTATAATTTTCCAAGTAATTCTGACATTTTTAAGAAGGGAAGAAAAAAAAACCTTTTTTTTTCCAGACCAAATGGATCTTTCACCTTCTACGAAAGAAAAAAGAAATATTTATGGAACAACAACAACAAAAATTAAGTATTGAACCTTTGGGTGTGGCTAGTGTCCAGTGAACTGGACTATACTCCTAAGTCTTCTTTTTATTTTGAGACTTTGATATGAAAGCAGACTTCATTAATAAACAAGGCATATATAGTAATCTACAGTCATCAATAAAAATCAGTTTATTGGTCAATTCTCTTTATTCCTGAACCTTGTTAAACAGACCTACTATTATTATAAAATAGAAAGTGGATTTCAACATCTTAAACAAAAATCCTTCACAACCTTTCAAGTTTTAGACTCTTGCAATACCTACACAAGTTACTGGTGTCAGCAATATATAGAGGTGGAGAGAAAAACTGTCTCCTACTGGCTCTGTGACCCTAGGTTAGTCACTTACCCTCTCAGAGACACTCTCATCAGTGATAAAGGACTAAGGTTACCACCGTCATTCTATAAAATAAGATGTTTATAAATGAGTCCCTAGCACAGCTGCTAACACAAAGCATATTCTTATTCGTTTCCTAATTTAAAAAGGAGAAAAATAGTAAAACTATTGTTTATTCATGCTAAAAAAAATTTACTACTAGGTAGTACTAAAAATGAGATTATCTTTCTTGGTATGCAAGACAACTATAGACAATATAGTTATTTATTGAAAAAAGAAATGTGTACTTTATTTATGCATATATGTATATATAATATATGTGGACATGTAGATGGTTTTTCTTTTCTATGTCTGCATATAATATCATAGTACTGGAAAATGAGGTATATAGGGGATTAAAACAAAGTCTCTTCAAGAGATTAGAACTAGTAATTGTGAAGAGGTGATTCCTTGTTAGGCTATGCTACTGCCTAATATGGATGAATAAAACCTCTGCCTATCCACCCAAAAAAGTTATATGAAACTCCTTTCTTTTTTTTTTTTTTTTTTTTTTTTAAATTTTTATTTATTTATTATATGTAAGTACACTGTAGCTGTCTTCAGACACCCCACAAGAGGGCATCAGATATCATTGCAGATGGTTGTTAGCCACCATGTGGTTGCTGGGATTTGAACTCGTGACCTCTGGAAGTGCAGTCAGTGCTCTTAACCACTGAGCCATCTCGCCAGCCCCCATGAAACTCCTTTCTTAAACATCAACTATACATAAGGGTGGATTATATATGTGATAATAAATTATGACACTAAGAGAGATGGAAGAATTCACACTAAAACAACTGAAAAACAGCTGAGCCTATAGAAAAAGATCTCAGATATCAAAATGATGAATTTTAATGTATTCCTACTGACAATACTGAGCTAACATAGCAGATGAGGGGACAGGTTTGGAAAGGTGCGTAAAAAGGAAGTAAGTACTTAAAAAGAAACTGTTGTGTATTGTCAGTGTATCTCTACTATAAATAAAAATTCAAATCAAACAACTATTTACACATAGATACAAAGAAAAACAAAAAAGCATCATTAAATTATAAATTATGAAGAAATGGAAATAAATTAGGCCATTAAACAATTGTATTCATTCTCTTTGAAAAACTCAACTAGGACTTCTCTTTTATCTTCTGTTTTCAGGGATTGAAACTAGAGCCTTACACATGCTCAAAAAAACACTGCTGATCTGTAGCCCAGCACCTAAACTTTTTTTAGAGTATTCATCTCAATTTTACCACCAATCCAGTATTATAACCACAGTTACACAAATTACTGTAACTCCTGAAGTACAGCAGGCAGAGAATCTTACATTTTATTTTAGTTTAAATTTAAAGAGCTATATAAGGTTACTGACCATCATATTCCACAGTACAGTTCTGGAAATGTCAGTATGTCATCTTACTGTAATTCTCACAAAATAGAAAACTTGAAAACTATTGGCTTTCATATATCAAATGAACAGTAGTAAGTATGAGTTAAGTGAGAGTGGTACTTCTGGTATAAAATATTAGAATCTCATCTAAAAGCTTGTATTCATAAGGCAACCACCAAGAACCACCACCATCCATATATATATATATATACATACATACATACATACATACATATATACATATATGTGTGTGTGTGTTATACACATACACACACACACACACACACATATATATGTATGCATACACACACACACACAGAGACAGACAGGCTTTCAGACAATTAGAACACCATCATACCAGAGTTCCATTTACATCCTGACTCAGGTTCCTCATCTCCCCTACAATGACAGCAACAAGGTATGTGCTCATTTTTACACTTTCAGAAAACTCATCTTGAATAAGTCCTTCTTCTGCAGGGACCGATGACTTCTAAAGTAAAAAAGAAAGAAAGATGATAGTTCTATAATTAAAGGAATCAATGACAAATATACTGAGAAACTAAAAATTCATGTAAGTAACAATTATATATTTTAATCTTTCAACACAAACTTCTAGAGAGTATAGATGTTTCAGTTTCTTCTACTTGATCAAGAGGACAGAGTATGAGAACCTCCACATGACTTTCAATATATGTAAGTTACCTGTAGCAGTTGTTCTGTCTCTTTTATAGCAAAACTCAAATCCTTCCCCACCTCCATAACCTGAGAATCACTGACCTCAAGAAGGAACTGTAGCTAAGACACCCCCTGACAGGACCTAGTGCTCCATGGAGGACCCCAGGAAAACTTTTAGTGGAATCAAAAGCATTAAGTCACTAGAGAACTCTGCAACAGACAGAAGATGAAGAAATGCCAGGAAATCTCAACATTTCCCAAACATGAATCAAGTTTTGCTTTGGGTTACTGTAGAAGCAGATGCCCACTTCTTTAAGAGATGGACCGAGGTGAAGAGTCGCTCATGCTGAAAGCTCATGCTGTCTGATGTCTATGGGGGTAGATTGTATTGCCTGCTGCCTGTGGCTACTCTTCACCTCTAGCCATAGAGGTTCTAAGAACACATAGGCTGCACAAAGCCATTCAGGCAGACACAAAAAACTCCTCTGCTTGGTGTTACCCCTACTACCTCCCATGCAACTAACATTCAAGATAGAGGCTCCTGTTCTTGTTTATTTCCACACAACAATAATCCAAAGTTTCCTTTGCCAAAACACTAAGAATGATCATAATTCCATAGTCTCAACAATGCTTACAAGAGCAAATTCATTATATTGCAAGTAACTTGGGCTTGTACTAGTTCATAGTGCTAATATTTTGCAGTGCAAAAAGATACTTTACACCTCCTACCCATGCATTCTAAGTCCTGCAGGGTCTTTTCCTTCCTCAAGTATTCCTCAGACTGACAAAGTACTTTTCTTTCCATTTTTATTTAACTATTTGAGAAAGAATATATACACGTATGTTTCTAAGTATTCCTACTAGGAGTACAGTAAAGAGGAATCCAACTGTTCTCAGAGATTAAGAGATCTATCCAAATATTTCACCTTCATGTCCCAGTACCTTAGGCATATTTGATAATGCAGTATGGTGCTCATTCCTTGTGATCTTGATGATAAATGTGGCCTTAAATGCTGGCTCATCAAAACAAGGAAAAGCAGATCTTGCTGCCAGAGGTTCAAACTGAGTTGCTGCAAAGTACCTAAAAACAAATGCAAATTCAGTCCAATAGTTAGAGTGCCTACTAGACAGGGCATCCTACCAAGTACTAGGGCTATGAAGAAAAATACAACTCCAGTCTTTAAAAGACCCACTATTAACTAAGGGGGCAGGGAAAACAGAGGTCTAGAGGGGACAGAATCTTCTAGCAGGCTTCAAATTATATTCGTAACAGTGGAAGCACATTAGTGGGATCAAATGGCATGACATAAATTCTGGAGTTGAAGACACTGTAAAGAAACAGTACACGGCCTGAACGGGTCCTTGAATTTCAAGCACAGAATTGAAGAATACACTTGAGAAAGATGGCAGCATAAGGAAAGAAGGCATTTATGTGTTTATAAGCTGGAGCAGCTGCTGAGTGTGGTGGGATTCACAAACATAGCCGCTTGAGTTTCCGACAGAAGTCCATAGGCAGGATTGTCATTAGTTGCTACTAAACATCTGGGTTAGCAACCCTGAATCTCAAATCTACAATATGCACATTCATGAAAATAGAAAAAAAAAAACAGTTGTTCTTTAATAGTTATTCTGCTTTCCTTTATCTTCTTTTCAGAGATGAACAGAAATGGTTTTCCCTTTTGCACCATGACAGCAGCAGTTAAGACTATAATGCATACAAAGGTCTTGTATGTGAAAAGCACAAATAGAAGCAAGGGCTAACAGTAGATTTTCAGTCAGGAGAAAAGTGATCTCCATGTAGAAGACTATACAAGCAGAGTAACAGGGCAAAAGTCCTCCCTCATACCAGTTTCCATACCATCCACAGGTACTCTGGTCACAGCAACCCCTCTGCTTCTCAGTCCTTAGACTCCACTTTTAGAAGATAAGCAGAAAAGAGAGAATTGAATTTGGGATCTACACTTATTAACCACATGACCCTGTCAAGTCTGTAACCTATATCTCAGGCTTTTTTTTTTTTTTAATGTTATATATTAAGGCTGAGACAGGTTTCCCTGCACCAAGCCCAGTGTTTTGTCAGAATCCAGGAAAACATTACAATAAAACCAAACGAAACGTTGGTATACTACCTAGGTGGTTCTACATTGATGCATATTACTAGTACTAGGTAACTACAATTCTCTCCCACACCTAAAATCATTGTCTTTCCTGATAAGCATAGGCCCTGATAAATAAAGGCAGAGTGAACTTCTTCTGATAACATGCTATTTCTAATGTTCATTCCTTTTATTCATCCCCTGCCAACATTTTCACCTAGTAAACAGAATAGGAAAAACTCTAATTATATTCCTATTACTCACATTAGAGAGGCCTATTTAAAGACAAAAATTATATCATAATGTTCTTCTCTTTGTTTGAGACCAAATCATAAATAGCCAAAATTGGCCTCATATTCACTGTGTATACACACACACACACCTTGACCCCCTTGATCCTCCTGCCTCTACCTCCCAAATGCTGGGATTACCAATGCATTCTATCATGCCTGAGTATAGATCCTAATATTCTAAGTCAAAATAAGCAAACAATATAATTATCTCATACAAGTCTATGAGAAGGCTACAATTACAATGTCTTTTCAATTACAATTACAATGTCTTTTCAATTCTGAACTTGATACCTATTCTTTCCTTGTGACTATGCTGGCGCTCAGAAACACTTGCTAAGCATGTCCTCAAGTCAGGACAGGAATTAGCTGGGAGGTGAGTAAGAGAATCCTAAGCACTGGCAAAAAAAAAAAAGTGCAAATGAGAAGAAGTATGAACCGGGGAAGTAGTTCAACACAATGGAAAGATTTAAGATCTCTCTCTGCTTCCTGCCAGCCCTGCCAGACTATTATTACTTTATGCACTTTTGTCCTTGGCTATTATGAATATATTAGCATTTCTTAGTGAGTTTGTCAGGGTAGAATACTAAAGAAACAGCAGTTTCTAGTACTTCAGTTCCCAACAAGTACTGGCTACTGTTATGCTTAGTTGTAGGAAATAGAGAGTTCAACACGATAGGAGAATAAGGGCTGTGAGAGAAAACAAAGGGTCATATTATGAAGATCATCAAAATGTTAGACATTAAGAACTGTAAAATGTCTGCTCACCAAAGGCGACCATGAACACCTCTATTAGAGGAAACAAGTGCAAAGATAAAAATAAGCATAGGTTATGTCGGTAGCAGTGTGGAAAGTAGGTAAGGTTTCCTGACCACAAGCAGGGTCTCTTCAAAGCATATGACATTTACAGACATTGTGATTTTCCAGGCAACATGAGCATTGATGCTTTAGTGGTAATAGCTGCCTTTTAAGCAACAAGAAATGAATCCTTCTAATTACTTTTATCAGTTTAAATATTTGTTCTAATTATAGCGGGTCTAATATAAGTTTCCAGCAAAATAAAGCCAAAGTGAAAAACATACAGCATTGCTTAGGATTAATAGTTTTCAGACATTCTGAAGGTAAAAATGATCTAAACTTGTATCTACTTTCAAGATAGACAATCATGTGGGGACTTCACTTTAACAGGCAGGTAAATGAACTTATTTCTGTTCATTCTAAACTTTCAGCTTAAGATACTATTTTCTCTATTTCTTAGTTTCAAGGATCCATATTTTTCTAACATAACTCAAGCCAGCCCATGCCAATAATTTACACATCTATACTAAAAATCACTGGATTCTACACAGTATTCATTTATCCCATTATGTAGCACTAGGTCCAAATATTTCAAGGAATAATCAGATTAGACAAGATAACTCTGGGGCTTCTCTTAGAGTTCTGCTTGCAATATTACATCACTGTTTTTATTTGTTTACTTGTCTATTTATTTGGTTTTTCATGACAGGGTTTCTGTGTGTAGCCCTTGGTGATCCTAGAACTCTAAGTCATTGTTTCATTATATGAGCAGTGTATGTGTATGTGTGTCTGTCTATCTGTCTATATGTATGTATGTATGTTTATCTATCATTTCTCTATCTATATATGTGGATCATTCTACATATAAAATGTGTAATGCAAATAGGGTGTTAAATACTGTATTTCCTAGGGATAACAAAGATTACAACCCAAAAATTAAAGCTAAAAACTTTAGCTGCCATATCAATCACAGATTTTTGTTCAATTTTAGATAATCATTCAACAGCTAAAACATACAGACAGTATGCTATTTGTTTAAAAGGTATATATAAAGAAAAATAGTCATTTATCTGGCATTTGTAGTAAGCAGAGGTTACTAAAATATAACCAAATGTTTCAAATTCAAACTACCAGTGTAAAACTTGATGTAAAAAAAGAAAATTAGAGCAGCTTTTGATGATTCTTAATTCCTAGCAGAGGGCTGCAACTTTATACTCATCAATTCATTTAGTATTTGAATGTTTTTGGATGACTGAGAAAGAAACAGAATAATTTTTTCTATTATTTGACAAAAGCAAAACTGTTCCCCTCCCCCTTTGCCTTTTTGCTTTTTCAAGACTGGGGTTTCTCTGTATAACAGAGAACTGTCCCAGAACTCACTTTATAAACCAGGTTGGCCTTCAACTCATAGAGATCTGCCTGCCTCTGCCTCCTGAGTGCTAGGATTAAAGATGTGTGCTTCCATGCTGGCTGAAAACACGCATTCTATAGCTAATTAAATGTCTCTTGGGTGGAGAGAAAAGAACTAATGTATTGTTTTTGTGTTCAGTTAGTGAAATTACTCTTAAAAATATATTTCTTTCAATGAATTGAAAATTTAAAAAAATCTCTAAAACACTGAACATAACAACAATATGTTAATATATACTAGCAAAATGGTAAGAATTAATAATTCTTAAACTGGTCTACAGAATATTATGAGAGTACTATGTAAGAATGCTGTACTAACATAAAGCTCATATAAATGGTCTTTGTCCACAGAGGAGAGCTAACATGACCATAATAATGTGCACTTTCAGAAAACTCATTTATGATACAACTACGAAGATTAAACAACAAAGTGTGATCCAAACAGGCTGTGGAATACTCTTATATTTTGTTTCTCTCTTTGTTTTTTTTGTTTGTTTGTTTGTTTGGGTTTTTTTGTTTCGTTTTTGAGATGGACTCTTTCCTATACTCTTAGAGATTCTGCACTCAAACTGACATATTAAAAAGTAAACCAGTAAAGATTAAGGACATTAAGAATGATATACATAGGCATATTTCATTCTTTCTCCAACTCACTAAATACCCCCTTAAATCCTGCCTGCAAGCAGATTAACCGACTCCCCTCACTTCTTACAGCTTCATGGAAGGATGACAATTAATATTCATCTCATAAAATATAAAAAGCTCAAAAGAAGTATATTCTTCCATATTACCACTCTACTTTGTATATAACTTCCTAAATTTAAAACCTCTGTGCTTTTATTTAACTCAAATTAAATTTAAAATATCTATGGTGTGGACAAAGGGACTTATTTGCATTGTAGAAGTTACATGCAGAAGAGCAGAGAACAAGAATCATTTCAGAGTTTTACATACTTTTTCACATTACTTTTATCTGTGTAGGTGATGCCATAAAATCCATAATAAGAGTTAGATATATTTGCTGAATACTCTATCTTCAAGGTATAATTGTGTCCTGTTAGAAGGGTTTCAGGAGCAACAACGGCGATTTGCTCATGATATGGATATTCCAGGATTTCAACTTGTGTTTCTTGACTTGAAACTGCTGACATAAATGTCACTCTTGAAATATTATGTCCTGTGCTATGGAGAATGATATCCCGTGTGTCTTGAAGAGCCTGAAGTGAAATTGTCACAGAACCCCTGAATGTCATTGAGGTTAGGTTTGGATGTAGGCTAAGTTCATAGCGTTGAGGAATAATGGCAGTGGGAAGCCTAATTTGCGCCCATGGAAACACTTTCCCGTTTGTAGCAAATGGCTGAATGAGTTCTGCTGACTGGTTTATTTTGTGGCAGCCTTCTTTGGTAAAGGTACATCTAGGCAGTAGATAAATCACCATGATTACAGAGACAGCAACCACAATGACAAAAACACAGATCACTAAGGTCCTGGCAGAGGGTACTGAACAAGTCCCATCTGGACTCTGCCTGTAGCCTGCTGCACTGTTCCGAAGGCCCGAGCTCCTGTTCATGAAGGACATGCCTAGCAGCTTTGCAGATGACTCATAGTCCTCTTCATCCTCATCCATCTCATGCTCACCAAGACCTCGCACCAGTAGCCTCGAACCTCGGGGCTCATATTCAACTTCATCAGGTTCCAGAGGATGTAAACAAGGCTCTTTGGCTAAATCTACCACATCTGGTTCTTCTTCAAACATGCTGTTTTCAATCATATTCCTTGGAAGCTGAAGTCGATCTAAAAAATTAAGACATAAAGATAAGACAGAAGTAGGGGAGAGGGAAACACCAAATTTAGTATATTTTTAATCACTTGAGTTTTTTTTTTTAAACACTAAGACTTATTTCCATTTTAATGCTATTTGAATTAAATAAAGGCTTCATGGTATTCTTGAATTATCCATTATAAACGCAAGTATATATTTTAAAAAAGCACACTATAATCATGAACCAAAACCAAAAACAACAAAATAAAAAACTAGTAAAAGGGTATAAAGCTAATTGTTTGTCTAGTTCTAATTCTATCACAGATCTCTCATTGTTGGTAGTCACTGAGTGCATAAAAATATATGCAATGGTGAAAAAGAATGGCAATTGTACCTCTACTGAAGCTTACTGAGATGTATATGGGCTTGAGGCCTGCATCACTTTGGTATGCGATATATATTTTATTTGAATTTGTTTTCTTTCAATAATGAAAGTATATTGATTTTTAAACAGCTGTGATTTCATAGTACTTTCCTTAATACAGTCCTACCCAACATCCTGGGACCCTGGCTTGACTTTAGAAGATATTACTTTAGTCATCTCTAACTGTGTCTGTCCCTAAATAGCTAGAAGTAAGTGGGGCCAAAAGAAAAGGACTATATACTCTATGTCTTACTTCTGGGTCTGGATACCTGAGGCCTATAATTCTTGACCAAATATTGCAAAACCAGGTTGTGAGGCCTGTATGGACCTCTTTCCTATGTCCCATTCTCCCTCAGGCAAATCACAAACTGGTCTGCCTGCTTCTATGCATAAAACGTAGCTTCTCAAGAGAATGGGTTATTGTTATATTAAGGAAGAAAGTACTATGAAATCGCAGCTGTTTTTTTTTTTAATATATATATCTCCCCAAGGATGTTTCTGGCCCATAGTAAACTAAAAGCAGAAAATGATCATGATATTTTGGTAAGCAAGAAACAGTAACAGACAAAAAACTTAAAAAACAGGTCAACTACAGTTCAAACACCTGCTTTTTCACCCTCCTGTAGCATTCACAAGTACAACAGTTCCCATCTTTAAAAACAGAATATACACCATGAGTGCCAGCATATCTTAAGGCAGGGAAGTAGCTGGGGGTTTCTAAGCTATAATCGCCACCCCAAACACACACACTTGTCAAGAATCACTGAAGAAATGTCTCAAGAAGCAAAGGGATAGATAATATTACATATCTATCAATAACTCAGAATTATGACATTCAATAGTTTATATTAAAAAAAATCACCTTTTAAGGGATTTCAAGAGTTTAACAAATTGAAATCATCTTTAACTTGTTCTCACAAGGTACTTTACAGTTATTTCTAATCTTCACAGAAGTTCTATAAAGTAGCAAAATTTAATTTAAGGCATGAAAACACAAACAGAAATGGATTAACTTAAGTTTAAAGCCATACAGGCATTTAATTGTATATTTTAGCCCAGATCTAAAACAATTTATTTCAAATTTTAATCTTCTCATTAATGTAATGCATCTTCTGACTCATGTTAATTTAATGGAAGGTAAGGTTTTTAACAATTTGGTATCTGGCAATGAAATTAAAAATATTATTTCATCATCAGTAGAACAAAACTGGAATTACTTAATATACTGAAAAACACAGTGCTCAATAAAGAATAACACTGGTAACTCATAACATACAAAATAAAAGCACTACTGCTGCTCAAAGTGCAGAGTAAAGACCACAGTACCCCTATTACATCACATTTTCTTACAAAAACAGACTTCTTCCCTTCTAGGCACGAATTTCAGGAGACTACCAGGGACCTTTGTGCATGTCAGAAGCATGGATCAGATCCTACAATCACACTATTCCTAGGTGTGCTCAGACCATAGCTGACTGTTTTACTCTGAGAACAAGTCAGATTAAATCTCTCTCTCCCTGACAGACCTTTTTTACTTAGTTCCTCTTCCTGGATGTCATGATTTCCTCTTTTTTCATTCAGTCTGCTACACATCTGTTATTGTGTAATTAAACTCACTAGAACATTAATCAAGAAAACTCATTTCCTTTTAAGAGTTAACTGCCATTCGTACTTCTGTGCACTTCTGATTTAGGGAGAAAAGAAACTAGAGTAAGATGGTCAACCATTTTCTACTTCTTCAGTCTGAAATTGGTAAAAATTATGGTACCAAGAAGTACCTAAAGAAAGATTTGACATCCTTAGTCACCAGGGAAATGCAAACCAAAATGACCCTGAGATTCCACTTTACACCAATCAGAATGGCTAAGATCAAAACCTCAGGCGACAGCAGATGCTGGCAAGGATGTGGAGAAAGAGGAACACTCCTACATTGCTGGTGGGAAAACAATCTGGTGGTTGCTCAGAAAACTGGAAATAGTTCTACCTGAAGACCCAGCTATATCACTCCTGGGCATATACCCAAAAGATGCTCCAACATATAACAGGGACACATACTCCACTATGTTCATAGCAGCCTTATTTATAATAGCTAGAAGCTGGAAAGAACCCAGATGTCCCTCAACAGAAGAATGGATACAGAAAATGTAGTACATTTATACAATGGAATACTACTCAAGTTATTAAAAATGATGACTGCACAAACTTTGTAGGCAACTAGATGGAACTATAAAATATCATCCTGAGTGAGGTAACCCAGACCCAATAGGACACATATGGTATGTACTTACTGATAAGTGGATATTAGCCCAAAAGTTCAGAATACCCATGATACAACTCACAGACCATATGAAGCCTAACAAGAAGGCAAGCCAAAGTGTGGATGCTACAAACCCACTTAGAAGGGGGAACAAAATAGAGGCAGAGGGAGGGAGGAACCTGGATGGGAGAGTGGAAGGGGAGGAAAAAAAAGGAAAGGGGGCAGGACCAGGTGTGGGAAGAGATGAAAGTCCAGAGGGCCAGGAGAATGAATAGAAATAAGTAGTAGTAGGGGTTGGAGAATTTGGGGGACCACTAGAAAGTCCCAGCAACCAGGGATTCTAATTTTCCCCGTCTAAAGGAAAGGCAGGGACAAAAATGGAGCAAAGGCTGAAGGAAACGCCATCCAGACACCGCCCCACTGTGGGATCCATTCCATCTGCAGACACTAAACCCTAACACTACTGCTGATGCCAAGAAGTGCTTGCAGACAGGAGCCTGGTATGGCTGTCCTCTGAGAGGCTCTGCCAGCCCCTCACTAAGACAATGCAGATACTCACAGCCAGCCAGTGGACTGAGCCAGGGGACCCCAATAGAAGAGTTAGGGCAAGGGCTGAAGGAGCTGAAGGGGATTCCAACCCCATAGGAAGAACAACAATATCAACTAACTGGACCCCTCAGAGCTCCTAGGGACTAAACCACCAACCAAAGAGTACACATGGGCTTGTCCATGGCTCCTGCTACACATGTAGCAGGGGACTGCCTTGCCTGGCCTCAGTGGAAAGGGTGGCGCTTGGTCCTGTGGAGGCTTGATGCACCCATAAAAGGGGGATGCTACACGGGTGAGGCGGAAGTAGGTGGGTAAGTGGGTGGAGGAGCACCCTCTTAGAGGCAAAAGAGAGGAGGTGGGGTGGGGGTGAGACCAGAAAGGGGATAACATTTGAAATGTAAACAAATAAAATAATTAATAAATTAAAAACATAAAAAATAAAAAGACTTTTTTGAATAAAACTTCTACTCATTTATAGGTGTGGGTTTATTAAGTGGCCATCTGCTCATCCCCAGTAAATGGTATGTGTAGAGAACAAGTGGTTACAATATCGTGGGGTTTTTTTGGTTTTTGTTTTTTTTGTTTGTTTGTTTTAGAATTTAATTTTCTCAGGTTCCAAGTGTTCCCAATGCCTTGTGATGGTTGGTTTCAATGGACATTTGGAGGTTGTATCAATTACTTCTCTGTTGTGATAAACATCAAGAACAAAATCAATTTGAAGAAATGGTTTGGGTTTTTTTGGCTTAGGATCCAGAGGTTAAGAGTCTACTTCAGCAGCTAATGTATGACATGCCTACAGGAACAGGAAGAGAGAGAAAAGGATCAGGAAGTGGGATGAGGCTATAAACTCAAAGCATGTCACAGTGATATACTTCCTAAAGCAAAGTTCAATCTCATAAAGGTTCCATACCCACCCAAAGAACACCACCATATGGGGACTGAACATTCAAATACATAAGCTCACGGGTGTCATTTCTCACTCAAACCACCAAAGGGGTCATTTCATTCATGCAATCTCACATTGAAATATTATTCAAAATTGTTTGTAAGCCCTTAATAAATTCTTAACCTTTCTGACATGCTTATGCTCCTATGAGAGATGAAATTATGCCCCTAAAGGATCTCACTCACCCTATGCTACATGCAGACAACCATGAGCTCTAGTCAGCATGGTTTATTCAGTAAAAGCCTTTCACTGGGTAATATTAGAGCATTCCCATTCACCATCAACTAGGATCTATCAGAACTTTTTGAGTGTGGTCTTAGGGTTTCTATTGCTGTCATAAAACACCACATTCAAAGGAACTTGGGAAAGAAGGTATTTATCTTACAACTCTGAGGTCATACTCCATCTCTGAGAGAAGTCAGTGTAGGAACCTGAAAGCAGAGGCAATGGAAGTGCTGCTCACTGGCTCTATCTTCCTGGCTTATTGTGTTGTTTGTTTGTTTGTTTGTTGTTTTTTCCTTATACATCCCAGGACCACTTGCCCAGGGTAGCAGTAGCCACAATGAGCTCTCTCACATCAATCATCAATCAAGAAAATACCCTACAGACTTGCCTACAGCCCAATCCTATAAAGGCATTTTTTTTTTAAAGATTCTTTCTTCCCAGATGACCATACCTTGTGACAACTGGACATTAAAAAAAAAAAAAAGACTGCTTAGTCATGACCTGTTTAATGCCAAGGAATATTTAACAGTTGATTATTTGCCCTGTCTTCACCAAATTTGAGAACTGGCCAGTCAGTACTCTGCAAAAACCCAAATAACTTATTTTATAATTAAATACCTCGTCAAA